TACACGTCCAGATATAGATGATGCACGTGGGCGTCTGCATGTCCAGGTGCATTCTGACAGGTCATGTACATGTCCAGATATAGATGATGCACTTGTTCGTCTGCATGTCCAGGTGCATTCTGACAGGAGGGCTTATGTCTTCTTCTCCCCAATCCGGCAGGCCGATTCTGCGTACTGTCCCTCTTTTTCCACGTTTCCTCTCTTCGCTGGAATGTTGAAACTGTTTTCACTCTTAATACTGCTCAACAAACAATTTTGGAAAGCGTCTTTTTTGTCCTTGAGTCCTTTTAAAGTTTAAACCACCACCGTGCCTTGGCCTTGTTTTCACATTGTGGGGTACGCGATCTTTTCGAAGGCCGAAACGAAACGACAGCCTCGGATGAGGTTTATCAACGGCGGCGGCCGTCGTCGGGCCGAGCCCCCGATTTTTTAGAAGAGTAGGCCATATTCCCATGTTCCCGACAGCAGGAAAGGTAGTGGTGGCTGAATAGTGTTTGTTGCATACTTGCGGCGCACTTCTGCGGTGCGCATGCCCCATGCGCCATGCGCAAATTAGTGATGTGCGGATCATGCGCCCAATTTTTTTATTTTTTATTTTTTTAATTTTTTTTTTAGGGGTGTGTCTGTATACAAGGGGGGGGGGGAGAGAGAGAGAGAGAGAGAGAGAGAGAGAGAGAGAGAGAGAGAGAGAGAGAGAGAGAGAGAGAGAGAGAGAGAGAGAGATCCCCCTAACGTGGCTCAGAAGGCCCATGCAGGCATTCTGAATGGTCCCCGCAGTACTGTAGCGCAGACCCTTCACCAACATTGAGGCAGGCCGTAAATATGAAGTAGAGCACGAGCTGGCCGAATATATACGCAGGATTCAAATTTAGGTCTGTGTTTCAGCAGTTATGGGTTGCTCACTTAGCGGACCTACGTGATTCTCAGGGCTTGGCTGCACTACTCACCAAATGTGCAAAACTAATCTTCTGCAGAACATGGAATAATACGCCGCCATATGTTTTGTCTTTTGTGCATGTGGTGAATAGAGGCCCTAAGGGCCACTGCACGTATTCCTAAGAAAAGAAAAACGAGAAAATTTTCTCGTTTTGGATTTTCTCGTTATTCTTTTCTTAGGAATACGTGCAGTGGCCCTTAGGGCCTCTACTCACCACATGCACAAAGACAAAACATATGGCGGCGTATTATTCCATGTTCTGCAGAAGATTCAGTTTAGTTTTGCACATTTGGTGAGTAGTGCAGCCAAGCCCTGAGAATCACGTGCAGAGACCAACAAGGCCTAGCTAAGTGAGCAACCCATAACTGCTGAAACCGAGATGCACAGACCTGAATTTGAATCCAGACTATATAATCTTGGCCCACTCTTAGGAACTGCAAGGTTGAAGTGTACCTCTGCTACACGTGGGGTCCTAGCTAATTAGCTGTAGGGGCCCTTCGGAAAAGAGGCTGGACACAATTAAAACAGGAATACTCACATGTATAGCCATGTGCCCACAGTTTTGGGGTATGGCGTGGCCCCGGAGTTTTTTTCTGATTTTTAAAAGCGAGGGGGATGTTTGGCCACCCCACCCTGTCCTTTCATATATATATAGTTCTGTTTGTGACGATATATATACGATAGGGTTCAGCCTCCTGATGAGTCGGTGAAACTCCGACGAAACAGTTTGTCACAGCCCCTCGTTTGTTGTCCTCTTCTCTCTCTCTGCCAACGGTTTACCGGGCAGTTCTGTTTGTGACGATATATATGACGATATATATATATGAGTCGGTGAAACTCCGACGAAACAGTTTGTCACAGCCCCTCGTTTGTTGTCCTCTTCTCCCTCTCTGCCTACGGTTTACCGGGCAGTTCTATTTGACGATATATTGTAGATTATCATTTACAGTGTAATCAGTGAGGGGATTCTGCAGACTGTTGACGGTTCAGCCTCCTGATGAGTCGGTGAAACTCCGACGAAACAGTTTGTCACAGCCCCTCGTTTGTTGTCCTCTTCTCTCTCTCTGCCTACGGTTTACCGGGCAGTTCTGTTTGTGACGATATTGGGCAGTTCTGTTTGTGACAATATATATATATATATATTATATTCAGCCTCCTGATGAGTCGGTGAAACTCCGACGAAACAGTTTGTCACAGCCCCTCGTTTGTTTCCTCTTCTCCCTCTCTGCCTACGGTTTACCGGGCAGTTCTATTTGACGATATATATATATATTTATTTTTTTTGGTGATGCGCCGCATCACGTGCATGCGCGTGTGCTCTGCGCCGCATGTGCCGCGACCCCACGCATGGGATGCGCCGCAAGTATGGTTTGTTGTTCGCCTTTTCTCACCCTTTTTTTTTTTTCTTCTTGTCTATGATTTGCTGTGGGCTGCAGGTCCCAAAGTACCTCCAGAAAACAGTGAAGAAAATGGATGCAGAGAGGGAGCTGTGGCTTGGATCCTTCATCCGCGCGCCGTTGAGGCTGCCAGGCCCAGCAGAGATTGAGCACCAGTACAAAAAATTGAGTAAGTGCTTAGTTCAGTAAAAGTTTTGTGCGCGTTTTAGACGGAAAAAAAGAGCAGACTCAAGGCCTGATTCTAAATATGTCTTGTGTCTGAAACAAGCACGCCAGTCCGGACTCGTGTACATGTCCAAGCCATCAAGAAAAGAAACCACCACAAGGAATCTGAAAACTGTTCGGAGTCCATGAAGCTCGGTCCCCTCACCTTGTCTGAAGTTTTCCTTCTCCTCTTCCTCTTCCTCCTCCTCCTCCTCTGGCGTGTTGTTTGTTGTTATTGTGGTGCTGGTGGTTGTTTGTTGTTGTTGTTGTTGTGTTAACGGCGGCGGCAGCGGTGCTGGTGGTGGTTTGTTGTTGTTGTGTTGGCGGCGGCAGCGGTGGTGGTGGTGGTTGGCGTTGTGGAGGTGGTGGTGGTGGTGGTGGTGGGTGTTTGTTGCTGTTGTTGCCGCTGTTTACAGCGCTTAATCCGAGAAATATAGAGTTGGAGAGAATTTTAACTCTTAATTTGTTCGTTAGTATGGTTAATAGTGTAGGGGGCTGAGGAGGGGGAGGGGGGGGGGGGGGGGGTGGTGCAGTGGGGGGTTCCTTGCAGCATTTGTGCCCTCTTTTTTTGGATGGAAATGCCTAGCTGAATGGTTATGCTACTGTTTCCACCTCTAAAAAACATGCATTTGTTTAAATTCGTACCCTTTTCCACCGACTTCCCTGGCCCTCCCCACCTCTCCTCCTCCCTCTTCATCTCCCCCTCCCCCTCCCCCCAAAAGGTATTTCCATGCAAAGTTGTTTGTGCTTTGAAGTTGTAACCATATTTTTGGTCTTCTGTGCATTTGGTGAGTAATGGACCTGGGCGTTCATCCCTGCGAAGGAACTGTGCCAATTGCGGTCGGGTTTGTCCGGGTATGGCCCTGAATGAAGGCTGGTGCGTTTCGGTTGTTTTCCTTGCCTTTGTCCATGGGCTCGTCATGCGCCTACGCGACATAGCCCTTTGTCCATTGGCTCGTCATGCGCCTATGTGACATAGCCCTTTGTCCATTGGCTCGTCATGTGCCTACGTGACATAGCCCGGCTTCATTGTTTCATGTCATCGCGCTTCTGAGCCGCGGCTTCGCCGCAGCGGGTCTGGCTTGTTAAGGGTAAAGGAAAAAATCTCGAAACGGAGTTCAAAAGCTATGTTGTGCAGAATTGCGCTGCACACAACTATTGGCTCCGAAAAGTGCGGATGAACACTGCTACCGGACCAAAATGGCTGGCGACTCCAGTCAAAAGAAAACAAAAATGTTGCACGAGCGTTTTGGCAAAGCTTGGCGCGCAGGGGAGCTCAAGGATCCTGAGTTTTGCGTTGGATGTACTGGTGGTTTTAAGCCCCATCATTTGTACCCCATTTCCTCACCACCTAATGGACAACACTGAAAAACAGAAAAGACCCCGGATTTGGGCTGTTTCCTGTGGGCAGGGAAAATGCCCACTGAGGAATGGAGACAGGGACGATGAGCCGCGAGTACGTAAGGAAACGATAGCTGAAGAGGCCGAGGCCTCTTTGGAATTTTGCCTTGTTACTCTAGAACCTCAAGAATAGTCGACAGGAGTATAGAAGGTCACACACAGTTGTGGTACATACTACATATGAATAGGAAAGTTGAAGAGATTTTGTGGCGAGCAGTTGCTCGTATAAGATAAACTGGGTAATGCTCACACAAGTTGAACATGACCCCGGGTCGAATTGTGAGGTCCCCGACCTCAAACATCATTCGGAATATAAATTATATAACAAAGGCTTTGTTAAAAAAAAAAAAAAAAACTCGAGTCTACCGGATAGGTATGAAAAGCATGCTGGCAGGCTTCTGAACGGCAGCTCCCTGATGTTATCACTCTCAGATGTTATCTATGGGACGCGGGACCCGTTTTCCAGCAGGCGGCAGCTCCCCACCCACCGATAGATATGGAGCAACCAGGTGGCTCCTGGGTGGGCCTCTGCTCTTACCACCCTCTGCGAGCAGTCAGTTGGGTTTTTGAAAAAAAACTTAAAAAAAATAATAGTAATAAAAAATCCTTGAGCTTCTACACGCCTGGGGTAATCTGTACAGGAGATTCCTTGCTTTCTCTATACCCCCTTTCCCCCCCCTCTCTCTCCCCCCCTCTCTCTCCCCCCCTCTTACTATGTCTTCATCTACACCACGAGGACAAGCAAACCAAAGGAAAAGTGCGAGGCTTATGCCCCTATGAGCCCCTTTCAGGCCCTGCCAAGTATCACGTCGGCTGCCTTAAGTGAAGGCAGGCACGACGAGGGCCTGAGGGTCCCTATTTCGGTCACCACGCTACTCAAGGAAATTCAGGCAGTTGCGCAGCGCCAGTTGGTTGGAAGAACCCACGCCCTGGGCAGCCTGTGTGAATGTATCGAAGGCAGGCACAGGGCTGGATACGGGATGTGGGCCGAACACAGGCCGTTGACAGTTGGGCACGAGCAACCACTACAGGCCCAGGGCCTGAGTTGTGTGGACTGGGCCTCAGCCTACAGGGGCCCACCGGAAGTTCTTGGGAAAGGCCCAGCTCAGCCTGGGACAGCAAGCAGGCAGGCCACTTCCATACAGCAAAGGGCCTGCCTCCGCATTTGGCATTCGGGTGCTGGCTGCATGCTGCGCAAGCGCTGCCGCGCTGTAGCTCGCTGGCACTCACGCGCTCACGGGCGAGCAGGAAGGAGCAGGCAGCCATAGCCAAGCTGCGCTGCTGTAAGCTGGGTGTGGCGCAGGGTGGTCCTTGGGTGCATGTGGCATCTGTGTGTTGGGGAACGAGGTTGTGAGTGTAGCGAGAGACATACCTGGTGCTGGAAGCGTGCGGCATTGGCCGCTATCTGCTCGTACTTCGGTGAAGCTGTTGTCGTCATCTTCGGCATTGTAGTATAGGCTAGATAGGATCTGCCATCTGTAGTCTGGGCGCCGAGCGCCAGATAGGATATCAACATTGGTTCTTCGTTGATGATGATGATGATGAGACTATTTCAGCATTGTCAATTATGAGCTCTTGGTGTGTTCTTATTTCGTGAAACTCGTGATGCAAGTCTGCTGTTGGTTCGAGGTCACGACTATCTGGTCTTATGTGTATGATGCTGTTTGATTGCTGAAGTTCGCTATCGCTCATCTTCCTTGCAAAAGAAAAGAAAACGGAAAAAAAAAATAGGACCAGCAAACTCTTGTGCAGATGTGCAAATCCTTTTCTCATTTTCTTTGGTAGCATCAGTCTCCTTACAAAAAGTAGAAAAATCCGTTAACTCAAATTGAAAGTTTTTTATACCCTCAATCCGAAGCGGAATTGACGAACCAGAAAATGCATCCATTTTGCCGGAGCCTCAAAGTGACCGTGACGAGTACCGGTACCAGTACTGGCTATTGGAAAAATCAACCAGAGTACCCAAACTGGCCTCCTGTATTACTGAAGATTCTGAGCCTTCCACAGATGTTTCGGGGTCCATCTGCGTTGCTCTAGTGGGACCGGGACCGGGACCGGGACCGGGACCGAATGGCCGAAGGGCCTACTCGCGTACGAAAAAGGTCAAACAGTAACTTCAGGTGGACTTCTGGTTTGAACCGCTACCGTCTTCATCCGAATAGAACGGCCGGTCATTATCGCTGTATCTAGACTGAAAGTTGCCCATATACGGCTAGAATGACCGGGCGTTGGTAGTACATTGGTTCCAGCCTTGTAGAAAAGAAACTGGTCACCTACGCCGAAAAGTTTTGAGCCAGCCCGCGGGCGATGTCTGGCCGTGTACTGGTGGATTAAGGCTTTGTTAGGGGACCCAGGGGAGGAACTTAGACCACCAGTACACCCGGGTCTGGCGGGCGGCGCCGAGCTTTGTTGAACCGCCAGCGGTGCACTTTTTTCAAAGTTTCTTTTTTTCTGTTTTGGCGGGCACCGCCAGCCTTTGTGATCCGGTAGGCCGAGCTTCGGAAATCATAGGAATGAGCCATGAAGAAATCTTTCAAGGCTGGGGCCGTATGCTTGCAGCTTAAGAAACAGGTCATTGACGAGTGACCCCCGCATTTTCCATCTTCATTCACGTACTCCCTTTCCCCCTCTGCCTATTTGTTTTGGCTTGGTCGTTCTTCCGCCGCCTTTGAGTCGCCTTCCCGTTCCCGTTCCCGTTCTTGGTTTACTTGCGCTTGGCGTTTCCACTTATCCTTGCCGTTTTCGATTGTGCTCTCTATGAATCCAGTTGTACTTTTGTAGCGCCAGTACATGGCCCCAGCCAAGTCGAGAATCGTGATTTAACCTTTCCTAAAGTTTTGGAGGCTCGGGACAGGGCCTCTGAAGGGCTGGTGGTGAAAAGAGAATTGTCCCATGCGTTTGGGGTGGGACCAGGCGCAGCAATGAGGAAAACAAAAATTCTGTCCGCCCCCAGGCGGGACCTGTCCTGAGTCCCCAAACTTTTCGTAGACGCGCATTCGTGATTCTCCAGACGTACTGGTGGTTTATGCTTTTGACTCTTTTTGAGTATATTCTTCTTATGAATGACAGCTGACTTTGGGCTGTGTCTACGAGTCATGTCATTTGTGTGTCGTATTCGTCGATTTTCTGAATGCTTGCCGTTTTTGGCTTATCATTGTCATTCTTTGTCACCCCTCCTTTTGTTTGCCCCTTTCTTTCCCCTTGTGTTCTCTCTCTCCTGGTGCCATTTGTGTGTTTTCTGTATACGTTTGCTTACTGTGGCTGTTTCCGTTTGCTTTTTCTTGTCTGTTGGTTTGCTTCCATCAACGACAGTGTTCGAGCAGCCGGTGGCCTTCGTCGATGAGGAAACAGGGGATGAGTACATGTACGACCCGGAATTCAAGCGGTTGATAACGTTCGACAAGGATGCGAATGGGGATATTGAGAAAATGCGAGCGATGATCGTTGACGAGGCGCAGGCAGCTAGAGAAGGGAAGGAGATGGGCGTTTGGGAGGACGTTCCAACGGGTTTGGAAGACCTACTCAACATGAAAATCCCGGACGCACCCCCGACCACCGACCCCTTCAAAGCCGTGGATTGGGCGTTGGATTTGAAGCAGAAGGAAATGGAGGAGCAGTACAAAGAGGCCGTGGCGGCAGTGAAGGAGGAGAGAGAAAAAACAAAGGAGGAAGTCAAGAGTGAGTTGGAGAAGAATAAACTGGAAGCAGCGGAGAAGCTCAAGGCGGCCCGCGAAGAAGCGGTGCAGGCGAAGGAAAGGGCAGAGGAAAGATTGGCAGAAAAGTTGGAATCGCTGTTCAAGCGTGGTCGGCGTGGAGATGGAGGCGATGGCGGAGACGGGGATGAAGAGGAGGAGGAGGAGGAAGAAGACGAAGATGATGACGAAGAGGAAGAAGAGGAGGGGAGAGGAGGAGGAGGAGGAGGAGGGGGGAGAAGTAGCGGTGCGGGTAGTGTCAAAATGAGCGGTCGTTCTGACGGAGTTTTGGATGAAGAGCGAACGGCTCGATACAAGGTCGAAGAGGAGGAATCGGGTGGCGAATACGACAGTGACGAAGACGGAGAGGAGGGCGGTGGTAAGCGGGAAAAGAGGGCGAGGGAGAGAAAATCAGAGACGGTTGCAATGGCTGTGACAGGAGGAGCAGGCGCTTATTCGACGTCTGGTACCATGTCTGCAAGAAGTCCGACAGCATTCGCTTCCATAAGCATGGGGGCAGCACTTACGCTGCAAAATTCTGCAGCGTTTGTTGCACTCGTCTCCCGATCACAGGTATATTGACAGCGGAGAGCAGGCACCGCTTCCGTCTTCCCCTATTGGCACCGGAGAGGGGCACTGCTTCCTTTTCCCTACTCAGGGTCTCTGTTTCGTCTTTCAATTTCCCAAACGAATGCTCAGACTTTGGCTGCCCTCCTGCTGTACCACCACGTGGCATGTGTGGCAGCTGCTGACACGTGGCATATCATAGTCACGAGTCGTGGCAAGGAAAATTACAACTGCTGACATGTGGCAAATCTCTTCCATCTTCAAAATGTTTACTGAACTTCGTTCACAATTTCACATCTTACTTATGTGGGCGTCACCCACCTTATATTGCGAGCTCACCCTCTTTATATGATCCTCGATAGCTGAGATCCTGTTTTTTTGTTTTTATTTTTTTTTTCTGTCTTTTACTAAAAACATTTTGGCTAAAATGCCTATTATATCTGGCCTACCAGCCGGGCCGCCTGGGTCACGTTGTTTTCCCGGGCGGTCCGGCCGTGCAAGGACGAGGGAAGGTCCCGGCAAAAAAAAAAAAAAAAAAAAAAAACGGAAAAAACAATGCTATGCTGAAAAATAAACTGAACAACTTTTGCCTCAGGGTCACATCGAAATTATTTGCCAAATTTGAAATAAAAAATAAGTTTAAATAAACATTAAAAAATAATATAGGAGTCGGTGAAATTCCAATGAAACAGTTTGTCACAGGCCCTCGTTTGTTGTCCTCTTCTCCCTCCCTCTATGCCTATGGTTGGCCCCGGGCCACTCTGGTAGTCTAGTATTATATTCAGTTTCATTTTCAATTTATTTGCTGTTCTTTGAGATGTTGTCAGCGCATGAAACAAACTGCTTCTCAATATATTATACGTCCTATACATAAAACAAGGGGAAAAAAAATGGAAACGAGAAAGATCGTTGCAGTTAAAACGCTCGTAGTTGGATTTTGGGTGGGAGGGGTCAGTTTGCTCTTGCGGGCCGTGTACTGGCCCTTTCGCCTGTGTTGCGGGGTATGCATTCCTTGCCTTTATTGGCCCGGGATATGTACCTGGTGCTGTTACTTTGGAAAAAAAAAAATTTTTTTTAAAAACAATTCCTTTGCTTGAATTTGAAAAAAAAAAAGAAAAAAAAAAAGAAAAAAAAAAGAGAAAAAAAAGAAAAGAAAAAGAAAAAAAAAGAAAAAAAAGAAAAGAAAAAGAAAAAAAAGAAGAAAAAAGAAGAAAAAAAAGAAGAAAAAAAAAGAAGAAAAAAAAGAAAAAAAAAGAAAAGACAAGAAAAAAAGAAAAAAAAGAAAAGAAAGAAAGAAAGATTGAAACCCCACCGGAACGGGTGGGTAACTGGTACATGTCATGCATGGCAGTCAATGTTTCCGAAAAGCGAAAGTTCTAGTGCACTTGAAGAAAACAAAAAAATGTTGAGGCTGGGTCCTCACAATAGCCCAGAAGAGAGAGGGGGGGGGGGGGGGGGAGGGGGGGGAGGGGGGGGGGGGGGGGTAACCCAAAAAAGGAGAAAATAAAAGAAGAAAGGGAAAAGAAAATTTGAAAACCCTTCCCCAAGGCCCAACCCCGAACAAGTACTTTCCGGGACCGTGGGGAGCCCACCCAGTGACCCAAATAATGTGTCCTCTCCACTGCAGAAGCGAGACAAAACGGAAAAGAGATGGAGAAAAGAAAAAAAAGGAAAGGAAAAAGACCCCATCCACCCATCCTCAAGCTTCCAATCAGACCACCTATCTAGCCTACTTGCCTTTGGTCTATCTTATCTTGATGGGGCTATTCCGAGACATGGAGCTGTCTCAGCTGACCCCTTGTCCTCGCAGCTTTTTTTTTTTTTTTTTACTTCCACTCATCTACCTATCTACATTCTTCATCAAGGCATATGGCTGCCTCGACCCCACTGGGGTCACTCCAACTCCAAACATGCAATTCGAAATGAAAGTTATGCAAAACTAGGGTGGTCCCCAGGTGGCCCGACTGGGGGAAGGTCTCCTGGGTACCTTCCCGGGCGGCCCGGGCCAGGCAGGGGCCGGGCATGGTTCCGGCCAGTCCCAGCGCATAATATTATATATATATTTTTTCCCCAAAAAATCCAAAAAAATCTGGAAAACAAATGTATTGTGCAAAATGGCAGTAGAAGCAGCTTTTGGCTGAGCGTCCCCTCGAGATTCCTTGTTAATTTTAAGATAAAAAGTAAATGAGGACAAATGAGGTAATATATAGTATATACCCTTTTGAGTTTTTAACCCCTCTAGCCACTGTTTAGAGTAACTTTTTAACCCAGGGGTGATTGGGGTTAAAAACTTGCTTCTAAGATATACACAGTAGAAGCAACAGTTTTTAACTCCAATCACCCCTGGGTGATGCACCACCGAAATGCAACGTAAGGCCGGATTCTGTCTGCTCAGGCAGAGCACAGTCCTGGCCTGAAGTCAGTTTCTTTTCTGGGGAGATCCTTCCCTCTTTTTTGACCTGCCTGGTTTTGCCGGGCGATGCCCCCCGGCCCAGCTGGGCCGGGCATGCCTGGCCGGGCAATTGCCCAGCCTAGGTGCACAATGAGTTTCTACAAGTCTGATTTCAAGTTGTTCCAACTTGCAACCATTATTATAAAAAAAAAAGAAAAAAAAAAAGAGAAAGTTTTAGTACTTACAAATTACAATATGTATATTGTCAAACAGAGCTGCGCGGTAAACCGTAGGCAGAGAGGGACAAGAGTGAGAAGAGGACAAGAAACGAGGGGCTGTGACAAACTGTTTCGTCGGAGTTTCATCGACTCATCAGGATATATATCTGTTTGTGACGATATATATATTATTTTCACTTGCTGATCCAGTTGTTTGTCTTTTCTTTTTGTTTTTCTCCTGTTCTGTGTTTGTGCATCTGGATTTGGAATTTTCGAATGATGCTCGAATGCTGCAGAGAGCGGTACAGCAGGTTTTTGACAGAGCGTCACGGTCGGTATCGCGGTTCGCCTCGATTCCACGCTTATCGCGGCAAGGCACCAACCCTGCTAGTGTGCTTCCGCCATCTGGCCGAGCAGCAATTGCATCCGTGGCTCGGGTTGCGGTTGCCAAGTGGCGCTTGGAAGTGGCGAGAGAATCGGCGCGTCTGCGGAAGCGATCGCTGTCACATAGGGGTGGCAAGGTAATTCATACGACGTCCCAGAGATGTGGTTTTGAAAGGGTGGGAGGACCTGTCGGCGACTTTGCAGACGAGCGTTCCGAGAAGAATGACCGCTGTTCGATGGGTTCGGTGGCGGCGGCGGCGGTGGCAGCAACAGCCAGCGCAAACGGTCTGGATTGGCCAGCAGTGCACGTACCGCTGGGGCCGAGAAGGATGACACCGCAAACCAGGAGGAGAGTACACAACCTGCACGACAACCGGAATCCCGATGGTGGGACTTGTTGTTGGCAGGCGGCCAATGAAAATACGCAGAACGACGACCTCTCATTCCTGTGCCTTGCTCTGCCTATATGTTGACAGAGGAACTGACCTAAGGACTTAGCGTTTTTTGGAGACTCAGTTGCTGAGGTGAAGGAGGGCTGTGAGGTGACATGGGATGGGGTATATTGCAATATGAGAGAGAGAGAGAGAGAGAGAGAGAGAGAGAGAGAGAGAGAGAGAGAGAGAGAGAGAGAGAGAGAGAGAGAGAGAGAGAGAGAGGCGTATATAACTGGGAAGGGTAAGGCAAAAGGAATTAGATGAGGGGAGGAGGAGGAGGAGGAGGAGGAGGAGGTATCTGTTGACAGAGGAACTGACCTGAGGACTTAACATTTTTTCGAAACTCAGTTGCTGATGACTTGCGGAGGGCTGAGCACTTTCAGAAATTTGGTTTCTGAGGGCTGAGCTCTATCAGGAAACTCAGTTTCCTAGGGCTGAGTTTTTCGGGAAACTCAGTTGCTGAGGACTGAGCTAATTTGAGGGAACTCAGGTGCTGAGGGCTGAGCTTTTTTAGGAAACTCTGTTGTGGAGGGCTGAGGCTTTTAGGAAACTCGGTTTCTGAGGGCTGAGCTTTTTAAGGGAACTCAGTTTATGAGGGATGAGCTTTTTAGGAAGACTCAGTTTATGAGGGCTGAGCATCTTAGGAAACTCAGTTGCTGAGGGCTGATCTTTCTCAGGAATTTCAGTTGCTGAGGACTTAGCTGTCTTGGAAAGTCAGTTGCTTAGGCCTGAGCCTTTTTGAGGAAACTCAGTTGCGGAGGACTCAGTTTTTTCTCAGAAACTCAGTTGCAGAGGACTCAGTTTTTTTTTTTGGGGAAACTCAGCTGCTGGGGGCTGAGCGTTTTAGGAAACTCAGTTTGCTGAAGGATGAGTTTTCTTAAGGAAACTCAGTGGCTGAAGCCTGAGCTTTTTAAAGAAACCACGGTAGCCCTATGCAAAATTTGCCTAAATGCCTCTGTCAGCATAGTTTTTTTGCCGAGTCTGCGATAGAGCATGAGGGAGATCACTCACTACCTAAACATGCTAGCACCCTGTGGGTGACCAGTATGCTACGCTATGTCGATGCTATGTCTATGCTGTGTGTATGTTTGTACTACTTTGTAGAGTTGTGTGTGTGTGTGTGTGTGTGTGTGTGTGATTCTTGCGACATATAAGAGAATACTGAGATTTTGT